CTGCCGTTTGAGGGCCCCCCCCCCCCCCCCCCCCCCCGTGTGTGCGCTCCCCTCTCCCCTCTCCCTAGGTGTCACGCTATTACGGGGATGCAGCGTTAATAAAAGATTGTAGAAGGAACTGACAACGCATGGTTGATCTAATGAGATCCCTAACTGTTCCAGCCATCTGCTAACAAGAAGCCATGACATTATCTAAGCTAGAGTTTGTGCCTTTTCATTCAATATAAATACAAACTTAAACACGGGTATATTGATGCAGTGATCTTTGTTCAACGAAATACTTCTTATCAAAGACATTCATTCCAAGTTAGATAAAACACCAGTTATTGTTCACTGTCATCCGAATGGGTCTTGAGAGCCGATTTTAAAAAATCACAATAGCAATAGATCTGCAAAACATACTAGAATGAGAATGCTAGGTGATCAATATGATGGAACTTCAGCTATACAGAATATTTAACTGTGGACATCTCAGGGAAAGCTTCATGAATGAGCCACTGCAGTGTAAACTGTCTTAAATTGTTACTGCTTCTAATTTTCAATCAGCATTTTTTTTCAGAATTACATATTGGGCAAAATATGTATAGTTATGACTTTTTTCAGTGATGTTTTAGTGGCATCTGGACTTGACTTCGAAGAAAGTAGGATTCTACAATAGCAGGTATGGTTAAGCCTATTACCTGGACGTTTATAAATAATTCAGGGAAGGAATTAATGTTACACTTCTAATTAATTAGACCATATGAAGAAGGCTGAGGGAGGTTTCACACGATGACAAATGTCATCAGAAAGGAAAAAAACTAAAGTGTCTCCGAACGGAGATTATCCTTGAAAAAGCAACAATAAACTGGAACTGATCTTATCACAAATTGTATCCCTCACAAAGATCTCTCGCATGGGCCCCCGTCTTCAGCCGAGCTGGCAGACAGACCCGCGTGTCGCACGCGATTTACAGCAGGTATTTAGCTAAATCCGTTCCAGTAAGATGCAAGAACGGAAGCCTGGCTGGGACACACACACCGGTCGCGTCTGCAATCCCCCCCACGAGCTGAGACGTGTTGAGATCAAGACTGGTAAGACTAAGACTGAGACTAAGAGCTACGGTCTGATTGACTAACTACTGCTAGAGTAAAAAAAAAAATCCAGCTGCCTGTTTGTTATCGGGCTTCCGAAGGTGAAACGTCCTTCAGGGGGGATAAACGCTATCTGACTGCCGCTGTCACCCAGGCTACGGGGATTCGGTCCTTGGGGAGGTCCACCTTAGCTTCCCCATGAATCATTTCAGGCCGAGTCGCTGTAATGCCGCATCAGTGCCGATGATGCCCATTTACAATGAAAATGCACGGCAGGACGGCAGACAGGCTTAACACGGGAGCGCGCATTAACGCGCGCTTTCGTCGCCGACGCGCCGGTCACCGTCGGCGAGCAAATTGAAAAGCGCGGTATCCATCAGAGAGCAGGCTTAGGCCGCTCTCCTAACACGCTTAAATTGCAGTAATCTCCGATGCAGATCACATCTGCGGTTAATTGGAGGATTTGCCGGAGGATCTGAGCGCGGCTTCACTCTGCTCCTGCGCCCGTGTTTATTTTCGGAAAGCGCCGCCTTTAACCGTTTGCCGACCGAGGCCCAGGCGAAGATTTGGGGGGGGGGAGACGCTGACGGCGGGCAGACATCGTTCGCTAGAGCCGCGTAATAAAACATAATCGCTCCCTTTTTGGGTCACAGGTGCTCGCTCGGCGTGAGCGGTGTCGGCGCCGCGGCAATGCCCGTGGACAGCGCCACGCGCTCGGAAATAGGCGGTTCCTTCGGGAAGCGCGCCGGCGCGGGGGAAATGGGCTTCCTGCGCGCGGCCGAGCGCGAGTCGAACGAGCCGCTCGTAAACACGCATACGCACGTACACACACACACACACGAGCCACCCCCGCGCTGTCACGGTGACGGCAGGGGGGGGGGGGGGGGGGGGGCGTAGGGGAGAGGTGTTAAGAGTGCAGGGAGTGGCAAGCGATTATCTGTTTTTTTCCCATTACCCCGCTGTATACATGCGCCTCATTTACATTCATGGTTATCCAGATAATGAAGCTTTCAATCCGGGGGATCCTGCGGTGAGAACAATGAACCCAATTACCTCCCGCCGCCCGCGAGATGGGATGGCAGACTCCGAGACAGATGGGAGAGGCCGCGGTCGGCCGGCGATCCAATCACATTCATCTCGCGCACCCCCCCACCCCCCCTCGTTTTCCCCGTCCTCGTGAGCGTCGCTACTTATCAACAGGCTGGAGCCGAAGTGCTGGGAGCATTACATCAAACCTACCCCCCCCCCCCAACACACCGCCACGACCCTACCCCCCCAACCTCTAGCCCTCACTATTTCTTGCAGCAGTGTGAGGTAAAGGTTCCCCGGAGCCCCCTCTGTCTCTCCCGCACGCTCAAGGTTCTCTTTCGCTTCAAGCGCTAGAAGGAGGAACTGTAACTCTTAAATGGAAAGGAAACTTTCATTGCTTTTAAGATCAGCATGTTGTTGGGTCTTTGTACAAAAACCCCCGGAAATAGTGAAAAAAAACAGTGCAAACAGTTTATCAGAATATTACTGCTTATCCTTCCATCCATCCTCAACCGCCCCCCGTCCCACCCCTCGAGGCTGCATTTCTTTTGCAAATCTTGTGTAAAAAAGAAACAGACAAAACGTCTGGACAGTATGTCTACTGCATTAAATTTATGAGTACATTTATCCTGCACTAAATATATATTAAGTCATGTGAATCCCCTTATAATAACTTTGCCTGCATACACATGGCCGAGAGATACTGTTAAAATAAAAAAAAGCTTGCGGCTGCAATGGGATTTGAAAGCACAAGGGTAAGAGACGGCTCCCCCTAAATAGGAGGCTGTGGAACACAAATAATCCATCTACCCATCCGTCTTCTAATCGCTTATCAGGGTTACAGCGGGGCCCGCAGCCCAGAACGCTAATAATGCTCCGTGTTAATCAAAAGGTTAATCAAATCACTTTCGGAGATGACCGATGGTATGTGCACACGGAGAGGAGCCTAACCTGGCGTGTGTTAAACTCCTTCGCGAAGGTTTTAGTTAAGATTTTTCCTTAAATGTACTGCCCCAGGAGCAAGAAGCAAAGTCAAAACGCAGATTGCTGCGTGATCGTGTTCAGTGTCGGGCGTAAACATTGCTTTTCACTGACATGCTATGATCGATAAACAGTGGGAGAGCTTTTTAAAAAGCGAAATCGCGGGGACAGGTTATCTGACTGGAATGCATTCCTCTGCACGTTAAAGTCATCTTTGCTGTAAAAGCGCAGGGCATAACTGACGCGTTTAGGCAGCAATATAGTTTACTGAGGGTCCGTCCAAGTTCACTTTTTTTCCTGCTAGGAGGGAGTCAGAGATCAGTTTTCCATTGGATGACTAAAGTGTGGCTGCTTTCATTTAGATACATGACATCAATAACTTTTACTGTTGCTACCAAGGGCTGGCTTTACATGAGGTGTGAGGTTTTTTAGAGCTCGCGGGGTCATCTCTACAGGTATATGTGCCTTGTCACCCAAGATAATGGCTCAAAGTGTTGAGTAAAGTGAAAGTGCCACTTAACACCCGGTGTGGTAACGATCGGGGAGGAAAACGGCAGTCCAATCAGTTTTGTAATGTAAGCACGCATAATGGCAAAAAGATCGTACTTTCCCAAATAAAATTAATTGTAGCGTAATATAAGCACAATTTGCTGCAGATATCAATGCGTCAGTGTTGTATTTTATTAAAATGGCAACGTAAATTTCGACTGTAAAAAAATGCAATATATAAAACCACGACTGCTAGACAGAAGTGAAATTTAGAAGAGATATTAAGACGGTTGAAACTTAATGCTTAATATTACAAATAGAAATTCTTTCACGTTAATAAAAAAAAATAGGGTAACAGCAGCAGTTCCTGTATCTATAAGGAAATGTTTTAAATGATATGCCAGATAGTTTCCCGAAAGAGATTAGCCGGCCTTGTTTATCTCAAATAGCTAGTAAAATAAATCGGGCGATTTTTGTGCTAGATAGGAGCGCGTCGTACGCATTAACAATGGAAGAGGCCGGGCTGCCACTACACGGACAGAGCAGCGCGTCGCAGCAGAGGTGAGAATCTCCGCGCCGGAGTTAATTGCTCACAACTTCCTCCACCCGAGGAAACGCCGGGAGGTGAGTGTCGATCGCTTCCAGGCGAACGGCGCGCACTTAGCGTAACAAAGACGGCGGCCGTCGGGGTGCTGTGGGCGTTCTGACTTTCAGCTTTTGCCGTTTATCGTCTTACATTTTTCAGTGCAAAAAAAACCCTTAATGATTTTTTTTCTCTCTCTCTCTATGGCAACTGTGGTGTGAGGATGCGGCGTCTTACTGGGTAGTGCTAAGAGTCGTTTACTTATAAAGATTATGTGTTGCATTGGCCTCAAATTCAATGCAGAAACGTGTTTTTTTAAGGGAAAATAACTAGAGGGTTAATGTATGATAAAAAATGAATGTACCATTGAATGAATTCCAGTGTTTTATGCTTGTATGACTTAAATACGCCCAATACCCATATTTCTTTACAATCATCTTCCATAATTTTCAGCCCGTGATCAATATTATAATTGACTTCTGGATGGACGCTGCTGTTTTGAGGATAAGCAGCAGACTTTCGGACACTATCCGTATCTTAATTCCCAAACCTCTTTCTTTGCAAAAGTCAGCCCTTGTATAAATAAAATGGAAAAGATTATTTATCTTTTTTTTGGCCCTGAAATCCAAAGAACAAAAAAGGAACCTGCAGCAGTTATTACAGCTCGCCGATGACCTTTAGCGCCAATTTCGCCACTTGTTCTGTGGCGATTACAAGGCGGCGGCTCCCGAAATCATCTCAGCTTTGACCTGCTGTGATTTGTGCTTCCTGAGAAGTGGTGGAATCATATTCCTGACAAAACAGTGTGTTTAGCATTTTCTAGACTGTATTTCTGCCAGGGGGCGGCACTGTGGCTCGGCGGGCAGCCCTCGTGCCTCACACCTCCTGGGGCTGTGGGGCTTGAAGTCCACCCCCACTCAGTGTCTGCAGTCTGCACGCTCTCCCCCCGTGTTGCACGCCTTTCCGCCGGCTACTAAGGTTCTTCCCGCAGCCCAAAGACATGAAGTTTTGGCTAATTGGTGCCTGTAAATTACCCCCGGTGTGTGAGTGTGTGCATGTGCCCTGTGATGGGCCACCTTCCCGTTCAGAGTGCACACCATGCTGCCTGGGAGAGGATCCAGGCTCCCCCACAACCCTGAGCAGGATGGATAGTATCTATTCCTAAGGCTCTAAGTACAGTGTCCTCCTGTAATGTTCTGGATTCAGTGTAAGCAGCCTTTGTCATCTTCTGCTGGAAATGTTGAGACACAGTCCAGCTCCCTATGACCTCCAAGGTCTTGCATTATTATTACCCAGACTCTCTATAGGGGTGGTCTGGTGGCTGAGTGATGTTGTCTCTTCAGAGCTCTAGAGTAGGTTTCCATCTGCCCCCTGCACTGCCCTTGAGGAGTCTTTACTAGCTGTCTTAACCTGGGATTTCCCTGTGCCCGTGTGTGAGTGTCCTGCAATGGAGACATGTCTTCCCCAGGTGGTACCCCACCTTATGCTCTGCAGAATGGCTCCCAGTAACCACCAGTGACTGAGTAATACTGTAGCGAGCATTATAGAGCGTACTGGAGAATAATGAAGAATGCTGTAGAGTATTGCAGAGAGTACTGTGGAGTATTGTACAGAATACTGTAAAGTACTGCAGAGAGTGCTGTGGAGTATTATTGCAAATAATACTCCACAGTTTTGTAGAGTTTTGTAGCAAACTAAGTAGGCTTGCTATGAGTAATATGGTCACAGAAGCTGGCATCTACTTTCAGTATTGAGGGCTGGGGTTGGACACTTTATATAAAGTTCAGGAGACATATTATTTGTCATTCATGTGGGTAATACTATAATGAACCTGCTTTGTTTAGTTCTATCCATCCTTCTCTTCTTGCCTTGTAGCAGAGCCGTCTTTTATTAGGATACAGGTATGTTTCCCTGCCGATGAGTGTAGACCGGAGCACAAAGTGAATGCAGGGAAAAAATAAGCCCAAACAGCAGTTTGCTGGCACCTCTATGTGCCAGGAGAAGCTGTGCAGAGCCGACACCAGCCAAAGGATTAATGATCCCGGGGGAGGCTAAGGTAAGCCCACGGCTCCGGCCTGACATCTTTGTACTTGTAAGAGCACACAAATTAGCCGGGCGACGCGGCGAGTAATGGCCGGGCAGCCCACGTCAGGCCCGTTTAACAATGTGGGTGAGGAGGGAAGCGGGGGGAGCTGCTGGCTGGCTACTGTCACCTGAGGATGTGCTCTCGGCGTACCTGCAGCCACCGTGTCACCCCATGTTATTTAAACTGTGCACCAAAAATACAACCCATCCGCTCGCTAATGTGCTTTACATCCTGTGCTGCACCCTGCGTTTGCCAGAAAAAAAAAAACACGCCTGCTTATGAGCCCCCGAATGCCAGCGCGGGCGGATTATTAAAAAGTTCATGCAGAACGACGCTATTACAATTATTCCGTCGATCCATGGCTTTTCCATAAGCGCTTATCCCCGGAAGCACAGGGCACGAAGCAGGGATACCCCGGATGCCGTGCCTGATACAGCGCGTTATGGTTTTATTTTTGTTTTTCTATAAAAAAAACTTTTTTCCCATGGCATTGTGCTGACGACACTGATGCACTGCTCATTATCTGACTTCCTCTGTATGAGGTCATTGTTCTTCCTCTCCATCTGTCCGTCCATGCATCCACCCAACCATCCATTCATCCATCCATCCATGCATCCGTACCTCCATGCATCCATCCAACCATCCTTCGTCCATCTTGCAGCAACTTATCTGCTACAGGGTTACAGGAATTGGTAAAAAAATATATATATATACCAAAACAAAATCTGAATTATAAACTGCACAACTGATACTGAAAAAAAATTCCAGTTACTGAATTTTCCAGAAGAATTCCCCATTACATATATGAATATATCTATATTTCATAATCTCCCATCAAATGGGGAAACCAGGAAGCAGCACCTCCACACAGGATGCCACCGACAGTATGGTGCCCGGTGGCATGTCGCCTAAGAATGGCTCTTCCTAGGGTTAAGTCCGGTGGAAAAAAAGCGACATCGAGGATGGCAAGAGGACCGGCGGCTGTCAGGCGCTGACGCCTGGCCCAGAACAGCGCCTCTCACTAATGACCGCGAGATCTGAATTCCCTCACTCCCGCGGGGAAACAGCTGCTGCCTCGGGCAGCATCTCACGCGGCTTTGAAGGGTCGCGGAGCTGGCGGCGCTCCTATCCAGCAGAAGCGCAGGCGTGTTGCGCCAGCATGGCGGCTAAGCCCACTGAAACCCCCATCCAGCCAATTTACTCATCCAACATGCCAAGTTGCCCCTAATAGAGACACAGGGGATGGCCTGCTGTGAGGTCCTCCCAAAGACAGGGGGCGAAATAGGCAGGATGAGACGGCCAACTCCACATGTATCTTTTCTGTAGAGGAAAAAAAAGGAGTCAGTTTGATTCTCCTCAAACCAATTTTGTCAAATGACAAAAAGCCTCCCTGATATTTCCCTCGCAGACTAACACATAGCCCCTGGTAAGGCTTACCCTTTACAATGTGATATGCAGTCACAACAACGTGCAGGGGGGGGGGGGGGTGCAGATTGCCAGGCAGCGTGCTGAACTTCCATTGTGGCCGCGGTTAATAATTCCCGCCACGTCCCCTGATAACTAGAGCGCCCGAAATAAAGCTTCAGCCTGCCGTGCCCCCGCTTTGAAAAGGGCCAGCGGTGGCAAGCCTTCGGTTGACGCCATTATTTAAAGGCGTGTGACCAGCTGCCATCTGACGCGTCCTTAAACACACAACACAAGCCTTCCTCATAAGACGCCGTTCCCATAGCGCCTCACACTGATTAATATGTTTACACTGCACCTTCACACAGCTGCGTGTTTATGGCAGGAGTGTCCCAAAGTCTCTTATTCTCATATTTACTTAGCATATTTACTTTCCCCGTCAAACGTGGGCTGACAGTGGATTTTTTTTCCTGAGCCCCCCCTCCCCCCCACTCTTGACTTATCTCCTCATCAACAGTCACAGAAAACATGGTGCTAAATCAATATTAGCACTAATAATGTAGCCTATATTCTGATTGCGGCCATTAGAGCCTGCGCCTGAAGCATGCGGGGTGCGGCGTGAGGGCAGTGCGGAACTCCTCTTCAGCAGGAGCGCCAGAAGCTGGTTTCGGGCCCCTGCGAGGAGGCATACGTCCGCTGCCGTTTGAGGGCCCCCCCCCCCCCCCCCCCCNGAGGAGGCATACGTCCGCTGCCGTTTGAGGGCCCCCCCCCCCCCCGGCACCGACGTCGCACTCGTCTCCGGCGTTTTCTGTATGATTTACGGCCCCTTTCGTCATGTTTTACATACGGCACGAAATTTACAGCACGGCGATGTCAGAAAGATGATTATTGTTAATTCCATGAATATGGTGAAAGGATGGAAGACGGGAGCAGCAGCCGCGATGGGGACCGCAAGCATCTGCACAGCTGTCGTATTCACGTGGGGGCAATTTCCAAGCCAGTGGAGACGTGAGACGAGAAGCACCGGTGATGCGATATCAGGCAAGCGCTGTGGTGTTTAAGGCTGGTTTGGAGAACTCCCTCAGATGTACGTGAAAGGGTAAAAAGATGGCAACATCTCGGTGTCTGATCGCAGGATACAAAAGCGTTTGTGTCCTGAGCTCATAAAGGGAACAGAGGACCTTTCTGCAGAATGGATGACGCTTTCACTCAGTTGACAATCATTTAAAATTGGCCAGTCATTGTTAGTATGCCAATTTTGTTTGTTTTTCAAAGACTAAGAATGACATTTGTATGTCATATGTTGCCATTAATGAAATAAACATTGTGCAGAGGATGAATTCCTGATTTTCAAACGTTTAAATGGTATAATAATTATGGATGGAAAGAAGCGAGGTTTTAAAATGAAATCCACAGTGCCATCACTGGCTGGCCTACAGATGCGAGACCTACAGGCCCCATGGGAAACAGCTTAAACCAGTCTTTGATAGGGCAGAACATTCCTACCCACAGTAACAGGCAGTGTGCATGTTTTTTAATATAATGAATAAATAAATTACATAATAAATAAAATGAAATATTTGTTTTTGCACTGTTTTTATTGGTTGAGACCAAGGTAGCCTTTGTGGTGCTGATGCTCGTTCATTCTAAACCATATTTATGGCCTTTACCGGTCATCACAATGTACTTCTGTCCATCTTTACAGTGCTGCTTGGGTCTCTTTATGAGTTTTTCAACTGATTGTGGTGTTTGATTAAAACGTAACATGAAAAGGACACCTAACAATTTATCAAGTGATTCCTAGATGGTATCATATTGTGCAATAATATCGCATAATATGTAATATTAGTCTGGAAGCTCTTAAATGTTGTCTGTAAGAAGGAACTATATAATCAAACATCCATTATATGCCAAGCATATAAAGGATAATTTGCACAACAGATGAGACTCAGTCTCTGTTATCTGATTAAACTGCAGTCAAGAAGCTATTATATGGTAGTGATGTTTAGCCATTCTAAGGGAGTTGGGCCATATGGTGAATAGCAATGAAAGCCAAACCAATGAGAGTACCAAAAAAACAGTAATGTATTGAATTTAGAAATAGACAGGACCTGTTGTGTTATGTGGTTCCATTGATTAGGCACCAAGAAATTGTGTGCTGAAGAATGACATTCGGTATTTCAGAATTTCATTCGAAATTTCAGAATTTCATTTGGAACCGCAGACACATGATTTAAATTTTTCTGTTGAATACCTATCTTTCAGACTGTTCTGTTGTAATCCCTATGCATCCCCTAAAAAGGCTTATTTTAGTAATACTGCTTTGTGTAACGCTGCGGTCTCTCATAAGCATTGCTGTTTATTTGGAATCATGGTGCAGCACTGTGAGGCTGGCACGCCCCAGCTCGACACAAGGCCTGCACGCGTGCCAGCTTGGCGCCATTTCACAATGGAGAATTGGCCAGTTATGAGACTGGCACTCTGATCCAGTTGGTCACACTCGAACCTGCTGGGACCTCCTGCTTAAAAAACACGTCAGCAGGCTGGTAGAGTCACTCCAGACTGCTCGGCACATCTGCCCTCCGTGTGGTTCCGCTCTGCCTCGTCTGGCCAGGGTTCCTGGCCAAGGAGGGGCTCGGAACCTTACACTCTGCTGCCTTTTGGATTCACTGATTTGGTCTCACCCAACGAACAAGCCATGCATTCACAAACCTGCATAAACCAACCAGACGGTGATATTTCATGATATTCAAAATAGCTAAGCACTCACCTCGGTTCTGGGTTATGATTAATGTGCAGTGCATGGAAATAAATATGTTCGCGGCATCATCATCTCTCTTTCCAACTCATACACACGAGGCGTATATGGGACATTATCCTGATGTGCTTATTATGTAACAGTCTAATGTGTGCTCCGTAAACTTAAAAGGTCATCGGGAGGGCTGATGATGTATAAATGGGTAAAAGGCAGGTCATACAGATGGAAGTGGTCTTACGGTGATAGCACAACTCTTTCCCACAGCTACGTTTACCCTTTCACAGCACTGGAGCGTGGAAGAGTGCACTAGAGAGTGAAACACAGTGCTATTGTCAGGCTAGCGCTAACTGCGGCATGTTTATGATACTCTGGTGTGCAAAGCACACATGTTCTGTGGCTAAACTGTTATGACTCCTCATTCTACCCTTGGGTAATAAAAATCGCCATGGCTCCATGTCTGCTAAATGTCTAGGAAATATGGGTAGCCAGTGTGTATTTTGTGCCATAGTGTTGTTCCCTGTAAACAGGCATTTGGTGTTAATTTCGTAGAGCGCCGGCTGAACATTAAATACAGCAGTTAGCAGGTTGGAAACAGGTTTCTAAGAGCATGTGAGCTTGTGATATGAGAAAGTCGATAATGCATGAAACCAGGAGACACACAGACCGTTTAACCGCGAACACAATCATGTGTCCCGTGAGCCGGACACTTCTTTGTTTACTCGCATTTTTCTACAGACTCAGAAACACACAGGAAATCTAATTTCCTTGCAATGCAATCCATCCCATCAGATGAATTATTTAAATTACGCGCAGTGGAAGCTCGCAAGCAGTGGGAACAGCGAGACGCCCGGGAAAGCAGCGGTGTGGGCTTTAGAATGAAGCATGTTCCAGGTCGAGCGGGGTCGAGTTACAGGGCTTTCCCAAGTACTGGAGAACATCTCCGCTAACAACTCCAAGGTCCAATAGTACTCCCTGCCACGCTCCGTCAACATCCGACAGTAACACTATACAGCTGGACCGCTGACATTACACTGGCCTGGAAAAATCTCTAATGGTCCGAGACTCCTGCACTGCGCGTGGCCCCTACTTAACATTCTGAATCAATGGCATCCCAGATCCTGAGATATTACCACTAGCGGAGAAGCTCGCCGCTCCTAAATTTACCCCTCCCCGAAGCACGTTCTGCCTCTCCCTTATTCCCTCGCAACATTAACGGCAGGCAGATGTCCATGAGCGCGTCCAGGTTTTATGCTCACATTACTGCTTCTCAGAGAGTCTTTTTTCTTAAACTCTCAGGTGATTTTTATAAAGCGCAGCATTGATCACAATATGTCCAAAGCCCACGTCACAGGCTGCTCGCCCATATTTTATTATCGATGTGTCAGGTCGTTCATTAGCTAAAACCCTAGAGACAGCTGCAGAAGTCTTTTGGCCCATTACTGATCATTTAAAAACTTAGGCTCAAAGACTTCTCACTGACCAAAATTGACACTTTTTATAAGAAAAACAATGAAAAAAGCGGTAAAATAATTGATTTTTTTTTAGCATAACTGGGAATGTACTGTATCAGTGTGCTGTATAGATACTGTATCTGAACGGTTACATAAATCCATCCATCTTCTACTCTGCTTAGCTGGCAAAGTGTCCCAACCTACATAGAGAGAATATATATACAGTACCAGTCAGAAGTTTGGACACCCCTGCTTGTAATACATTTCCCTCTATTTTAGCTGTGTTATTCACCTTATAAGCCCCCTTATAGCTTATAGGAACCTTGGATGTTAGCATTATGGCCCCAGGCAATGAAATAATACATATCAAATGTTGCAACGACCAAGAGGACTGTTCAGGATCTCGAAATTTTCTCATATTTTAGTCTATTCAAAATAGCCCCCCTTTGCTTCAATGACAGCATTGCAGACTATTGGAATTCTTTCAGCCAGCTTCCATTTGTAGCCACCTGGAACGTTTCTCCAACAGTCCTGAAGGAGTTTCCTGAAGTTCTGGGCAAAAGTTGGCTACCTTGCTCTTACTCTTCGAAGCAACTCATGCCAAATCAAATCTGTAGGGTTTAGGTCGGGGGATTGTGGGGGTTGGGTTGTCTGTTGCAGCACTCCTCTTTCCTTGTTCACAGGATAATAGTACTTACTATTAATTATTAATTAATAACAGTACTTACATAACCTCAAAATGTGCTTAGGGTCATTATCTTGTTGAAAAACAAATGATTTTCAGTAGGCGTGTCCAGACTTTTGACTGGTCCTATACATACACACAGAGACATACAGTATATGTATGGGCTGTCAAAGTTAACACGTTAACGTCTTCTGTCTCTCTTCTTGGCTCCCTATTGGTGCTGGCTTGTGGCTCCATCAATGAACAGGAACACATCTCCATCAAAAGGCTCCTCAAGACCTATATCCCGCCTCATCTCCTTCAGTCAGCAAACCAACATTTCTCAGAGCTCCCGGCAGCACATGAGAAGTGTCACTACAGACAGTTCTCTTGTGTGGTCCCAGAATGGTAGTATGAACTGCTGAACCACATCCGGTCAACTGACTCCCTCTCCACCTTCAAGAAGCACCTGAAGACCCTTCTGTTCCATGAATTCCTCTAAATCCCGATGCCTCCAACATTCCCTGAATGTTCATATGTTGCATTTCTGGTTCTTGAATAGTCTTATGAGGTTCCTGGTTTGACAGAAGTACATCCTGCTCTTATCCTGCTTACACTCATACCTGAGCTTTCGTTGGATGCACTATTACCTAGTTGACTGCATGACTGCACATTTGCGTGACTTGTATGTAACTTTGGATAAAATATGTAAACGTAACGTGTTACTGTCAATTGTAAAGTCACAATGCATTACTATATGTTTGATTGCGTTTACTGGACACGTTAATTTTGAGACCCCGATGAGAAAATAATATGAGTGACTTTTTTTAGTAGAGACCTAGAGTATTCCTTCCAGGTTGTAAACAATGTGAGAACTTTGGTTGTGATGTTGCATAGCATCCCAGAATTCACAGCTAAAAACAATTTTTGAATTAACATTCCATTAGTGTCTCACGGGGAAGCTGAAGGAGGGGAGAGGCATGGAAACATCGTTACTTGGTTCATTTCATTTTTAAAAATGACCAGACTGCTCAGAGGTTAAAAATATCATAATTTGCAACAGTTGTTTTATTTTATTGAAGGCTAAAACTTAAAATGAGGACCTTGCCAGTTACTAACGCATCTTCAGTGGTTGTAAGGCATCTGCTTTTAGAGCCATTCGCCAAAAAGATTTTAGATTGAGATGTTTTTGTTCCTAAACATTCACATTCTGTTTTGAGAGCAATGTCAAAAACTGAGGAAAAAAAGAGTCTGTTGGTGGACAAAGTGGAGTGAATTGCTTTTATGTCTTAGCAGTTTTATTTGACCCATGCGACACTAATATGGGAATAATCTATTCCTGTCTTTATTTTGAGACTTGTGTTTGGAATACATAAATTTCTACGCTGAATACCCAGACTATAAAATCTATCGTGATTTAAAACTTAATCGTCTGACAGCTATTTCCTTTAAGCTTAGGATACACTGGGTTATCATTGGATGGCTCTTAGCCTGTAATGTGAATGTGTTTTCTGGTGAACTCGGTCCCCTTTATGTTACGGCAGAGGTTCTGAGTCTGCCAAATGATAGCCATCCTGAGCTGACGCTCTGCATTAACGTTGGCAGGACAGCCTGGGGAAACAGTAACATTTCACCACGTTCAGTGTCTGGCACCCCAGCACAGAATAACCACGGTGTAAAAGGAAGAGCGCGCTCTGGCCTCTTAATTAACTCCTGTTTGGCAACAGGATGTGTTCCTGACAACTTTAATCCATCAGTTATTAAGGCCTTATTTTAAAGGGCCAACACGGCCCAAACGCCATTAATTACAGACCCCTTTCATCTGCAATTTTCCTCAAAGATTCTTGGGGAAAAAAATGTGGCTCAACAACTGATTTTTTTCAGCCCAATTAACATTCATAAAATATCCCAATCTGTCTTTCTTCCTGCTCACAGCGCTGAAGAGGACCTTGTTAATGTAATGAATGGTATTTCGCTGTTTATCCTTTGAGCTCTTGTCCAGTTTCTATTTTGCCATTCAGGGCATCGGCGATATTCTGCTTTCAAAAGCAAATCAAAGAGCACGGTTTCTGCGGAGCCCCATTGTGCTTCACCATGGATGCGGTTCCTTTTAGACCTTTAATAATGACTAATGCCTGAATAATAACTATTGCTGTTAATGAAGGTGCAAATTTGTTAAAGGTGATGATGTCAAACACATACGACAAACAATACATTTCTGCGAAACGATAAACCACAATTATGCTGTAATGACATAAAGCAGCCAATAAAAACATATTTCTCTCTTTATATTGTTATAGACTAGATATAAATATTTAAACCTTAATTTAATAGTATACTAGGATTTACTAGGATTAATTGTTAAAAAAAGGCTTCCTAGCTTCCGTTTCATTCTCGGCAGTTTTGATTACTCGTTTGTTACTTGATTTTTCTTATTTGTATTGTTATTTCATTTCGTCAGTGACGTGCTTGGAAGATACCATGGCGCTTGATACAGCGGGGTGTCTGCTATAGGTAGCAACATTGATATCCCCCCCACTCAGTTACCAGTGGACCAAACCAGCCCAGGTATCCATAAGGGAGGGTTGAAGGTTAGTCAGGCAAATATTTAATGTAAATAACACTGTGTGAGAAATATCAAACTCTGATGTCTTTATGTCGTTATAAATTTGATTCATTTAGGATGAATAGCATTTAGTTAAAAAGATTTATTTTTATTTTTTTTGAAATGATGACATTTGGGATGTAATTTGTACCTGAATAACCTGATACTGTAATACTATAATGGATTTTTAAATGGTTATTTTGTTTATGTTTATTTGAAATGGTTCAGCAGGGATTGTTTGTTCCTCAGTACTGGCATTTTAGCTTTTCAGAAATGGAAAATACGGACACTCTGTGTACTTTTATGCTTGCAATACAGATACAAAATAGGTTGTCAGAAAATTAAGCTGGACTAATAAATATGGTAATAACTCGGGAAATATTCCCAAAACTGACTTTTTCCTTGCTTAAAATACATAATGCATCTTAAAAATAATGCAAAATTGTTGTGCGTTTCTGTCACTTACCACAAACTCCATTATAAATCCCCTGGGGCCTGATAAACCCGCGGTGACCAGAATCATAAGGAGAATTAATGATGTCAACATAACCATCCAGCAGCTATTCCTGAGCTTCAGACAGAGGTTTTCGGGTCCTCAACCCGCCCTGCTTATGTAGCCATAAACAGTATCACCGCAAGGCACAGATATATGTTTAACCTCTTTATTAACCTTAATATATGCTTTGTTCAAATGGCATGAGCGAACAGCTACTAAAATGGGATTTGAAGGACGAGATAAGGCTCAAATATCTTCAATCACCCAAAAATGAGCACAGGACTAGAACCTTTATGATCTTTATATGGAAACCGATCTGTTTGAGCCGTAAGGTCCTCTGCGCTCCCAGAAACCCTGCACTCGTGGGCCGCCTTCTCCGTATTCAGATGACAGGCCCCCTGCCTGTCGTGTTTCCTTTGTGTCCACATTGTGTTTTATTGCCTGCGTTTACCGCGGCGAGTGCGTCGCGTGTTGTCGTGACGGCGGGGGACATCAGCGTTCTTCGACAGACTGCTTTGTGCATTGCTCTTTGATCTCCAGTCATGCAAAATACAAACAGAATATTATTGACTGAGTCACAGTCATTACGGCATCACACCAGAGGGTGTAAAAAGGAAATTGGAAAACAGGATGCAGCTCAACAATACATGTTGTAGCTGTAAGGCGGGAGAAACACAAAGGGGCCACCAGTCTCTCAGTGCTGCATTTTACATTTTTTACAGTAGATGGTTTATTTGCTCATCCCAGGCTGGGTGTCCCTGTCTTGCACTTTCTAGGTTGGATGTCAGAGTCAGTGTGACTCTGTACCTCCCCTCTACTAGTGTCTGGATGAATGGGTGCATGATGGATGGATGGACAGATGGAAGGGTGGATTTCATTCCTTAAAATGTGACATTATAATTCTGCACCCAACTGCTCGTAACCTGCTTCAAAGTTCCTCCTGATCATGCATGACAAGGTACTGCTGCACTATATCATAAACATCTGTCATGCTGATCTTTCGCTCCTGCATCCACGGAAACCCTCTGCTGCCTCGGGACTCCTTCCGGAAAGCTCCATGGGCCGAAGGGCCCTTATGCGTGCACGCTCTCTCTCTCTCTGGATCTGCCTGAGACCAGGAACACTTCAAGGTCATTTTCTGTCTTTTTAATTACACGGCAGACACCAGATCCGAGAGAGAGACAGTCTAAACTGCGATACGATCTCGGATGAAGAAATCTGTCTCGGTTATATGAAGCGAACAAAGGGGGAGTTTGAAAATAAGCGCGCTCTTCCAAAGATATTCCGTCTTCAGTCAGAGAGTGAGATTTTAAAAGTAACCATGGCGACTGCAGTATAAAATATGTATGTCCTTTACAGCATGTGTGCGCATGGATATTTTTGTGTGTTTTTAGGTGATGTGCGTGGTGAAATCTCCTGTCGTGAGATAGCGGAGTATGCCCAGTGTGTGTGTTTGTTTTGCCAGTGTGAGCTCCTATGCGTGTATGGATGTGTGTGTGTGTGTGTCTGTAATTCTTAATAGACTCTGACATTCCTGGAAAACGGAACACTTTAATTCAATGAGGGAACCAGAATGCAGAGCCTCACTAAAACTGGGGCATAAAATTCACTGCTGGGTAGGGGCCAGCTGCCGAAGAAAGGACAAAATCTATGGTCGACGTTCTCCGGGTCTGAGAATGCTAACATCATTCACCGGGCCCATATTTTCACTGTAATAAGCATCAGGATTCCATGCACAGACTGTCATAAAGCCCCATTAAGCTCCCTCGCAGACCTACTCACCTCCGGCTGCTGCCTAATCCAATCTGCCACACTTCCCCCTCCGCCAAAAGTTTGCGAAAATATTGAATGGTGGTATTTCCGAAGAATACATTCTGCATATTTGCAGAGGTGGATCTAAAGGGTGGCGAGAGCTGGGAAATGATAGTAAACACTGTACTAATATCCTTGTAAATACGTGGCCACCCCTGTTGCCATGCCACATGAAAATAATAAAAACAAAATACAGATATTAAATGCATAGAAGAGACTGGATGCAGAGTGGCCATCCCCAATAAATACAACTGCCCCCTGATGACCACTCTATTCAAAATTATCTGCAGACACTACTGCGTGTTCATTTTTCTCTCTGCTTGTTTTCTCTCACCCAAATCCGGCCCACCTGATCCAGAGTGCCCGCCCACAGCTCACACCAGCCTACAACTCAGGCGTGGGGATTGGGTGAGGGTAGGCTGAATGGCGGACTTGACGCTTATTTCAGAGGGGTGTCATTAGCGTGGGAAGGATTGGGAGGGGATGAGGGGGCGCAGGCTGATTTGGTGTGGTGTGTCGCACGCTGAAGCAATCAGCCAATCAGCTGGCCGCCGCAATCACGGGGGGTGCTGCCACTTCCCAGGTCACAGGGGGGTGGTATACTGAAAGGACGTGTGGTGGGACAGGCGTGACACATACCGCGGTAAATGTGAGATATTATACCTTCTGTTGAAGGTGCTAAGCGATAAGCGGTTCGGTATATCGCTGTGTTGGTGCCGTCTGGGTAGCTTAATCAAAAGTAGCGACGTAATAAATATTTTGAATATTTTAAAAAACCCTTCGTGGTAAATGCTGCAAAATTGCTCAAAATTCCTTTTTTTTCTCCGTAAATCTAGGTTCTGCCAAAAACATTTGCATATGGAAAGTGGGACAGAATACTGTAGTTTCACATTGTTGCATCAATCTCAGCACTGCTCCTCACCAAGGTCACCCTTTGACACATGTCTAAACGGCATTAAACTGCATCCGTCGGCCGGCTTTAGAAAATCAGCAACGGCCTAAAAACTGCCTTTTTTTTTAGATCACTTACAACAGACGTCTTTCATTTGTATCGTGTCACAGTTACGTAAAAAGCCAAAAGACAAGCATGTGTAATTGTTGTTGATTTGTGCCACTTTCACTTTGTGTTCTTTAAATACAGTTAGGCACTATTGTCTCTCTCCGTCTTAGATCCTCACAGCTTTTTCGCTGAATGGATCTCCTGTTTTAAAACATGCACTGTTTTTACAGTTATGTTAATGACACTGACTCTGCAGGATCTGGATGTGTTTCCTCTCAGCTTGTTCAGCTTTACACTGAAAAAAAGTGGAATTCCTTTTGACCCCGACCAAAATAAATGGTTAGAAGATGAATGGATGGACAGAAAAAGGGAAATTAAAATTAAAATTAAACAATTGTCCAAAATTGGCAAGAAATACATTTTGTAAAGATAATACCGTACCGTATGAAGTAAACTGGTAAAATATATGTCTATTTAATGCAGATTAAGCTCCTGTGTACATAAAGGATCACTTAAGCACATCACTGAGGCTCACATCTCTGAGGCTCACATCTCTGAGGCTCACATCTCTGAGGCTCACATCTCTGAGGGGTTCCTCTCTGGATCTTTCCTGCATTATTTACGTCCCAGAACCTTGGATGTTAGCAGTACGGTAAGTGCTCAGAGTGTCCACCTGTGGCTGCACTTGGGCGTGTGCGGTGTTTACTGTGCCACACGGGTGTAAAGTTAACCATCCCGCTGAAGCATCGCCATTTCGGGTGCTCGGATGCGACGTAAGGACGGTGTGTCTGCTCGACGGTACGAGGTCGCTACCTCCGTCCGGGACTCCGTCACTGTCCTTAAAGGAAGAGGCAGTTTCCACATGGGGCTGTCTCCTGTGAAGGCAGGCGTTTTGGTTTCTCATCATTATTATAATAATCTGGGGGGGTGACGGGGGGGGGGGGGCGACTATAAGAAGGGGTGAGAGCAGCGCGCGGCTCAGAACTGAGGAGACAGGGTTGAGGGATCGACCTCGCCTGGCCCGTCTTCGGCGCCGTCCCCAGCATCACGCTGCCACCCCGATACCGCCGGCTGTTCGGAATAGCCTCACGACCTGAGGGATACCTGGCGGGATTTCTGACCCCTGGCTTCTGGGTTTGACGGGTGCCTTTAGCAGTCGGTTTGGGGGGGCAGCTGTGGGACTGGATCCCCGAGGAAACGGCAGCATGAGAAATAAAATGATTGGGAGATCGTACACGATCGTTCTTATCTGATCAGCACGTCGGAAATTCGGAGGTTAGCAAAGTTTATTGAATGACGTGAATTTTTCTGTAGTATTAATAAATGTCCTGATCTGTGTCTGTCGCTTGTTGCCGTAATTCTCTTGCGGGCCTCTGCATCTTCAGCGTTCCCTGCAGATCGCATTTATGCATCAGGTTGGCGCATTACTTCTGCTTCGGTTTCGGAGGGAAATCCGGGGTGTCGGAAATCGTCGCGCAGTTTAAGGGATTAAGGTATTAATGGGTCAGACAGCTTTGGGTCTTTGGGGTCGGGGGGTCTGACAGAAAGGACGCTGCATGTAAATGGTGTTCATGGTGGGGGGAGGGCGGGGGGTGGGGGGCAGAGGGCCTAACCGCCAGAATTGCAGGCTATTATCCCCAGAATGTGCTGCCCCTTTTTGTTTCAGCCTCTCTCCATTTGTGCCCAGCCAAGCACATTGTCTCTGTAATCTATAGTTTTCTTTTCTCTGAAGGAAAAAGATACACACTTTAGCCCCTCCCTCCCCACACACCCCCAGTTAAATCTGTAAAGTGTTGCAAACGAGATCAGCAGAGCTAGAGAACACGATTGTCTCATTTTGCAGCTGTTTTCCTCCCAGCTGGGGCGGCTCTTTAGAGAAGTCGGTGCCCTCTGTGTTTTACGCGTTTGCTGATTTGATAGGCCCCCCCTTCCCGCCCCCCACTTAATTCATTAGCGAATCGATTAATGTGATCTGTATCCACGGAGACCTGCTCCGCAAGCTTCCCCCCAAAGGTTCGCTGTGCCGTCCGATGCCTTGCGTTGTTTTTTTTGTTTTTTTGTGTTATTTTCTCTTTTGTTCCTGCTTTGCTCCAGGGAAAAGTCACACATGGAAGGATGCAGATCTCGGCCTTGCCGGAGGCCCGGAGATTCTGGAAAGCGTCTGGACTGAGCTGTGTCCGAGGTCACCCCTTTCACGACGGTGGGCCCCCGCACTTGGCCCTGTACCCGCATGCTGTGGTCCCCCAGGGGGATCTCCAGGGCCAAAACACTGTCGCGGGCTACATTTACACCATGTCTGCCTCCTATGCAGGTTAGGGCCTAACCCTAACCCTAACCCTAACCCTACCCCACAACAGGGTTTTACGCTGGAGGGGCTCCTCCAGGGGACTGTGGGGATTTACATGGCAACACCGCGCATTCCCCCGTTCCACCGCCAGGGCTACGGCCAGGAATAAGAGGCGTGAACTTGGAAATAAAGCCACAGCACAGACCTCAGGGGGGAAACAATCACAAAAAAAAAATAAAATAAGAGTGTAGAGTGGAGAAGGAAGTGGGGGGGTGGAGACCAGTTAAATTTGATTTATCCAGTGTACGGACTTGGCAGGCCTCACAGGGACCCTTCAGGAAGAAATACCAACTGACTTTATGTGCAGTCAGTGCCAGTCATCAGCCATGTGCCTGAAATAAAATCAATGCATTTCATACGGGGAGAGCAAGAGGGCGCCGTGTGGGCGTGGGACACCCGCCCTCTCCGCCTGCAGGCTTCCATCACGGAGCGGGCCGTAACGAGAAGAGGCTTGGCGTTAGAAAGACTGGGAATCCAGTTCGGGTCACGCATGACCGGGTCAGCTGGGTCTGCATTCGGGGTTACAGTGAACACAGATGCAGCAAGAACAACAGGACGCTCTACCGCAGAGCCACGTTTGCAATGCTTATGAACACACCTGGATAGAAGAGAATGCCATATTCGGATCGGGTCTGCGGACAGATGCTACCTAAATTGCTTGAAATATGACCACTATACTGGACTCAGCCTGTCTCTATATGAGAGGTTATGCTTTTTATTACACTACAGATTTGCTGACCCAACCAGAGTGACAAATTATCGGGACACTGCAAGCAGGCTGAAACTGGCCAAATCAGAGGCCAGTTATTATTTGCAAAGATGCTGGTGGAATTTAGGTATAGCAACTTTAAATGCTGAAAATACAATTCTACGGATTAGTATTGATTAATATTGATTGTTTAATATGATAAAGACTCCATATACATCTTGTGTTATTAATTTCACTGTTATTAGCTGTCACCGCGACCCGGGCCAGGATGAGTAGTTAGAAGATGCGGCGGACGGTTGTTATTCGCTGTGAACTTAGCATGGGTATGAAAATCAGAAATATAAACAGGTTGTTTTTTTTTTAAAAAATGTATAATATTTCTCAAAATAAATTGTATAATTGCTCAAAGGAAAAATTATGGGCATGAGCATGGTGTCGGATTCTGCCCTGTTGGTCCTCAGATTGAGTCATTTTTGGCTTGTGCTGCTTCTCAGGTTCCGTGGAGGGCTAACAGCACAGCTCCTGATAGCCAATTAGAACCAGCTGGGATGGATGACTGAGAGACAGGGTGGGGGTGAAGGTGCAAGGGATGCGTGTGATTGGTGGACCTGGGAGAAGCCGCATTCTGATTAGTCAGCATTATATCTGCATTAATTGACGTGTCTTTGTGCTTTTGATTTGACAATCTGGTTTTATATTCTGCTTTTGTTTTGTTTAGTTTTTTTCCCTACTCTTGGTCCTCTGACCACTTTCACCCCAAAAACAAACACAATATTAAAGCAGAACAATCAGCATCCTGAGACTCCTGCTTTCCCTTTCTTACATCATCAGATCTCTTTCTCCTTGTTTCGTGCCTTGGTTCAGTTGCATTTTTTTAAAATTAATTCTAAGTATGAATAATTTCAAATAAAGATACTAATGGCGTGCCTCTCTTCATGACCTCCAGGGGGCGCTTTGTGATACCCAAGTTGCTGACAGTCATCAGACTGAACCCCTTACATCATCACACAAAAAGCAGACATGTAATACCACCAAGATTCTAACTACACAAGACGTGAAACGAACCTGACGCTCCATCCTGGTGATTTCCCCCCGCCCCCATGTTCTGAAAGCAGCATGAATAACATTTTTTTTTTTTTTTTTTTTTAAAAAGCCCCACTGCATGGCATACGTTCCTCAATGGCTGTGTCATGCCACTTGCACAGGTACCTTTTAATTGACTCCTCAGAAAGGTGCAGCGATCTCTTATCCCCGTAATGAGATTAATTGAGTAATTAGGACCGGAGGCGGAGGGAAAGCTAAAGCCTCTGCGGCCTTGTAGGACAGGAAACGTCCATCCCTGGTGCCGTCTCACCGGCACATGAAATATAATTAAGTTCTCACCGCTGGACCCCTAGGCACAGAGGGAGAGCCCGGTTGACGGGTAGGTGTCGATAAAGGAACAAGACGGATCCGGCACCTCTGCGCCAAGCGGGAGCACCGCCTCTAAATCAGGACAAGACACTAGGGTGGATCAAAGGACCTCGGACCGTCGAAGTCATATAGGTGTTTGATTGCTCCTGCGGTGGGCATGAGGGCTATTAATTTAAGCCGATGTGACTCGGGGGTCTGGAGGAGGACACGGCTAGCCGTGGTCAGGCCCAGCCTATAAGGGCCGCGGGGCCCCATGAGAGTAGTCCTGGGAGTCTTAACGCTCGCAGGCCAGTAAAAGGACACGTGAGCATCACTATGAATGTGAACACACACCGGCGCAATGGCAAAATCAATGGCTCTTTATGGAGCATCAATCTTGGGCACGCGATGACCTGCCCATCTCCAGCCTTCTTGAGCCCCAGCGGCCCCACATGGTACCGGCCAATAAAAACCACGACGCCCTTTCTGCTTGTTTGCTTGGATCGGAGCGTCGACGGCAGTTCTGGAGCACGAGAAAGCACGCTAGTTGATGGTGCAAAGGAAAGAACTGGAAATCAGGACAGGAACCCATGAAACGCCGTGAGCCTGATGGAGCTGTGCGCCATATGTACACAGGGATCTCACCGCATGTCGTTAACATGCACAAATGGATGTACAAGCGAACAAGCAAAGAAGGCAGAATTAAGACGCTGGCAGGAATCCTGCAAATATATCGATCGCTTGGCAAGAGACACGAACCGCTCTTTCCCGGCAGTCACGCTCCTGTGTGAAAAACACGGCCAGTTTTTGAGGAATGCAGCTTGGGGGGTGGGGCGGGGGGGGGTGAGGGGTAATTGCTTTTTGATTACAGCACGATGATAATGTGCTTGGCAGCAGTGGCATTGCAGAACGGGCCGCGGGATTTGCCACTTCAGGTCCGGCCCACTTCATCTCCTTAATTAAAACGGACCCTCGGAGCGTCCACTAGACAGGGCTGGGGGGGAGGGGTGATGGCAAAAACAAAGGCCGGATGGTACAGGCGGCTCAGGACTGAGGGATGAGGTGGGGGGGGGGGGCATGGAGAAAAGAAGACAACTACCTCCACGGCTCTCGCTGTCAGCCGGCTTCACCTGGATGGGACGAGTCATCTGGATGAACAAGAGAGAGAGAGCGAGAGGTTAGTGCTGGTGTGGGGAAACAGCCACTGACACGACAATGTAAACAAGCCGGGGGTGTCAGGCACCTCCCCCACAAACACGGCCGCCAGCAGCGCCGCCTGCTCCACCGCACCTCCGGCGAGGCCTATCGGGTTCTCCCAAGTACACAAAAATATCAGGAATGATTGGCCCATAGTTCGAACTGAGACGATGGATGTGGTCGCTGTCACTCAGGGCATGTATGCTTCTGCCCACCTCACGACCATCTTCATGACCAGAAAAATGGAACAGCACAATGGTAAAACTCAATCCGGCCACAGGAGCCGGGGAATCAACACGGCCCCATTGATCCCGGCCATTTGGCGGCGGAGGGCGCGGCCCAGGAGGGATTCTGCGGTCATGCGGCTCATGCTAATCCACTAGCCTCCGATAAGGATGGTGCCCCTGGATTAGAGCTTCCACTCATTGCGGCCCTGTGTCGTTCTGCAGTTTTCGTATCACTACGCGCTACTGCTGTTCGGCCTGAACGGGAACCCATTAGTGTTTTCTGCCTCACAAAGGTTCTTTCCCCCAATATTACATGTCATGTATTAAGGATCATCTTTGCAGGAGTCAAAGTACTCCTTAAATATAGCAGTACTGGGAATAACCATTCCTGTGGAAGGAGACTTTAAAAAGGCTCTTTAAGGATTAACTGGGGTGGCTTTTAAAAGTTCCAGATGAGATTTGGTTTAATTATGTTTTTCAAACAAGGGGGAACTAAAGATTATGGGAAGACTAACCATAAATATTTTTATTTTTCCATAACCACCCCCCCTCAGTGGGAACTTTGCACCTATCCAAAACAAACTGCTTTAATAACAACACAGCAGGCAGTTTCCTAATGCAAAAAAAGCCCAGATCTGTGTCGATTTGTGACAAGATTACCGAAATATGCAAAGCAATTTCGTATCCTTCAAGGCCCCGTTAGCCATCTGTAACCAGGAAATAAGCACATTTTATAGCTGCAAAACATGGGTCCCTCACGATTTCCAAGGCAACCTCCGAAAAATGTTTGAAAGAATCCAAGACTAACATTTTTCCCCCTTACTCACAATTTTTTTTCCTATGTATTTTTTTTATTGTTCAATTCCAGAGGAGATCTAAAAAGGTCAGATTTAAAGACAGGGCAGGCCCATAAAAGCATGACTTGTTCAAGGAGAGACACCATAATGGGATTTTAAAACGTCTTAATAACATGCTGATATATGGGGGAGCCGACCAGGCCAGATTCATTAAGTGCTAAACGTATCCATTTTCACCTTGAGGAACTAAATAACCTTCCTCTCCGGAATTATTCCATAAATTTGCTCGTCGTAAATAATAACTAGCCAGGGATAAGTCTCGTGAAGGAGAGGGGTGATGTTGTGCATTTGAAGGTTAAGGTTCAGACCCCTGTATCACACTTTGCTTTCTGTTTGACCCGAAGTTCATACACTTCGCTGGTGGCAGTTTGGGGGGGGGG